TTCAGTAACACTAATACCAACCCTACAGGAGAAATTCTTTATGGAAGGAGTTTTTTTCTGTAAAATCAGAGCAATGGGAGGTAGGCTGGTTCTTTTAGAAGGTCATGACTATGAAGATCTGAAAGAGCTGATTAATACTGGCCAAGATTGGCTAGGACAATGGTTTGAGGAAATCAAACCATGGACCCCTACTACGGTGGCAGCGGAGAGGTTCGCATGGATTAGGTGTTTGGGATTGCCTGCACATGCATGGAAGTTGGAATACTTCCAATCTTTTGGAAGCCTCTGGGGAACTTTTGTGTCTTTGGATGATAGCACCAGCGGGAAAAAACGTCTAGACGCTGCCAGATTTCTCATTTCAACACCTGTGATGGAATCCATTTCAAAGTCTTTATCCATAAAGATTAATGGAGTGTTGTATAACGTCAAGTTTTCCGAGGAGGAATCAAGCAATGGTTTATATGTTATGAAATCAGATTTTAAATTCAATGCTCACAAGGAGAAAGGAAATGAATCGTCAATGGAAGACTCAGATGACACAGATCATAGCTTCCTTGATTTGGAATCCGAGCAATCTAGGGGTGATGGAGAAGATGAAGACATGGAAGCCCAGTTATGTGTGCTGGAGACGGACATGGAAGATGATGCTAAAGGACCGAATGAGGTGGCAAGCTTACTACCCGACACATCAACAGGAAAGTTGGTGATTTTTCAAAATGTTCAAGGAAGAAAAAATCAATGTACCGTTGAGGGGATAGAGGATGACGTCTATGTGGCAGAGGGAACTGCTGAAACGTCTAAAGAGTCAGATGGAAATGCAACAGGCGGGATAGAAAATTCAACAAGAGAGCATTTAAGTGCTGATGGGCTCGAGGAGGATGACAGACAGATAGGAGCAGAGATGGATGCTTGTAGTGAAAACATTGGGAGTAGAAATAATTTCAAAATGGGGGAAATTGGGGATGCCTCATCGGAAAATGGTACAGAAATCGAAATGGACATAGGCACACCTACTGTCAACAATTTGCTGAAAAAAGGAGAAGCAATTAATGGGCTTGCTGGGCTGGTGAAGGAGGCGGACTCAAAGAATGGGTTGAATGGGCCAAGGGATGATGGGCCAAAATCAGTAACCATAACATCCTTGGGCAGGTCCAATAAAAAAAAAAAAGAGAAAGAGGGAGTCAATAAGGCGAGGACAGAAGAAGCAAACAGTTTCTGGGAGGATCTGGACAGTGACGCAGGGGAGCTACCGAAATGGGCAAGAAGAGGAGAGGGTAAGATGAAAAAAATACAGAAACGGAGGGTGAAGACATGCAGATCAGTTTACATACGGTCAGGCGGGCTAGAAGGCTTTCGGCTGCAGAAGAAGAAGAAAGGAAACCGGTTGGTGACGGAAAAATTGTTGCTGCAGGTGGGTTTTGAGGCAAATGCAACAGAATCGGTGGCAGATGATTCTATTAACGATAGCAACATTCAGAATTGCAACAAGGGTATTGAAATGAAGGATAAAGTCAGAGGCCCAGAAGCTGTTTTGAGCAGAATTAAAGAGTTGGGTGTTTCAATTGAAGGGGATGAGATACCGGTGCTACGAAAGCTAGAAGAGATGGAGCAGCGGGATAGAGAAAAAAGAAAGAAAGACAAGGTAAGTACTCTTACCAGAAACCAGGTGATTGATAATTCCCCATGATTTTGCTATCATTGAATATTAGGGGGTTGGGAGGTTGCGGGAAAAAGAGAGTGATTAGGGAGTTGGTGATGAAACATAGAGTAGAGGTTTTATTTTTGCAAGAAACAAAAATGGATATTGTTGACAAGAAATTATGTAGAAGGCTATGGGACTCAGACAACATGGAATGGGCGGCAAAACCAGCTTCGGGAGCTTCAGGAGGACTAATTACTATTTGGAACAGTGATGTGTTTAAGAAATTAAATGTTTTTGAAGGAGATGGCTTCCTCGGGATTCAGGGGCTATGGGGACCTGATGCTTACCCATGTTTTTTGTGTAATGTATATTCCTCATGTGACTTGATGGAGAAGAGGATTTTGTGGAGGGATCTCGAGCAACTGATAAGGAATAATAGAGGGTGCTGGTGTCTAGGAGGGGACTTTAACGCTATCCGAAGCTTGCAAGAAAGGAAGGGGGGCAAGAGTGTGAGAAGAGAAGTAAAGGGATTTGAAGAATTCATAGTGAATAATGGCTTGACGGATCTACCACTGTTGGGAAGAAAGTATACATGGTGCCAACCAAATGGTCACGGGATGAGTCGTTTGGATAGGTTTTTGTTCAATGATGACTGGATGATGAAATGGCCTGACCTCAAACAATGGGGACTCCATAGATCTCTGTCAGACCATTGTCCCATACTGGTAAAAAGCGAGACACTGAATTGGGGCCCAAAACCTTTCAAGTTCTTCAATGCTTGGCTACATACCCCTGGTTTCGGTGATATGGTTGCAGCAAAATGGAAGGAGATGAAAATCCAAGGATGGGGTGGATTCATCTTAAAGGAGAAATTAAAGAAGCTCAAGGATTTTCTTCGGGAGTGGTCAAAATCCTCTTTACAAGAAGTGGATAGGAAAATTGAGGAGGCCAGGGAGCAGATTAATAGAATTGATGGTAAAGGGGAAATGAGCAGTCTAACCAATGAAGATCTCATAATCAGGAGTTCTCACTATACTGAGCTACTCAAGAATATGCAGTTGAAAGAAGAGATGGCCCAACAGAAAGCACGGAAAACTTGGCTAAAAACAGGAGATGCTAATACCAGTTATTTCCACAAATGCATCAAGGGGAGATGGCGTAGGAATGAAATAAATGTGGTTTCCATAGAAGGCAAGGAGCTTAAAAACGTGGAAGACATAAAACAAGGAGTAAAGCAATATTTTGCCAATTTATTCACAGATGAAGGATGGCCGAGACCGACTTTAGAGGGCCTAAATTTCAAGACCATCTCAGAGGCGGACAGAGGCATGCTAACTGAACCGTTTACAGAAGAAGAAGTTAGAGCAGCGGTATGGAATTGTGATAGCACCAAAGCACCAGGACCGGATGGGTTTACTTTCGGCTTCTTAAAGAAAGAATGGGAGGTGATTAAAATTGACATCATGGAGTTTCTCACGGATTTCCACAGAAATGGAAAATTGGTAAGGGGTTCTAATGCCTCCTTTCTTGTTTTAATACCAAAGCGAGAAAACCCCCAAGGTATCGAGGAGTATAGACCCATCTCATTAATTGGTTGCACTTATAAAATTCTTGCTAAATTGCTAGCAAATAGACTCAGCAGAGTATTGAATGGGATTATAGGGGAAGATCAATCTGCATTTATCGAGGGGAGACAATTGGTAGATGGAGTGCTTGTTGCAAATGAGGCCATTGATTGGGTGAGGAAAAGAAAATCCCGGTGCTTTATTTTCAAAATTGATTTCGAAAAGGCATATGATAATGTGAGCTGGCCTTTTCTCGATTATATGATGGAAAGAATGGGCTTCGATACAGTATGGAGGGGGTGGATTTCTGAATGTTTAAAGTCTAATACGGTGTCTGTTTTAGTTAACGGAAGTACCACAAAAGAGTTCGCGATGTCAAGAGGGCTCCGACAAGGTGATCCATTATCTCCATTTCTATTCCTAATGGTGGCAGAGGCTCTTAATGGACTAACTTCAGCAGCAGTCTCAAAGGGCTTTTTTCGTGGAGCAAAGATAGGAGATGGGGAGCTTGAAATTAGCCATCTACAGTTTGCAGATGACACACTTTTTATGGGTGAGGCAACTGAAAACAACATTTGGTCAGTCAAATGTATTATGAGAGCTTTTGAATTGGTGTCAGGTCTGAAGGTAAATTACAGAAAGAGCTCTTTAATTGGAATCAACACTGATGATGAATGGATTGAAAAAATGGCATGGTTGCTAAACTGTAAAACTGATGTTCTCCCCTGCAAATACTTGGGGGTGCCATTGGGTGCAAACCCAAGGAGACTAGTCACATGGAAACCTTTAATTGAGACGTTTAGAAGAAAACTCTCAACCTGGAAAGGAAGATTCTTGTCTCTTGGTGGAAGAATCACCCTCATAAACTCTGTGCTATCCAGTCTACCAGTGTTCCTGATGTCATTCTATCTTCTCCCTAAACAGGTAATCTATGAACTTGATAAAATTAGAAGGAAATTCTTGTGGGGAGGGGTTGAGGAAGGTAGAAAGATTGCATGGGTGTCTTGGGATAGGGTATGCTGTAGTAAAAAAGAGGGAGGCTTGGGGATCAAAAATTTGAGATGGTTTAATATGGCATTGCTTGGCAAATGGTGGGCGAGACTAGCAGTAGAGGGAGACAAGGGTTTATGGTCTAGGGTACTTCTAGAAAAGTATGGTGGCAAGGAGGGAAATTGGTTGTCATGGTTGAGAGAGGGTCGGGGCTTAGGATCATCTTGGTGGAATGATGTTTGTAAATTGAATAGAGGCTTAGATGGAAAGGA